TGCTTTTAACATTGCCTGAGTGTTTTGCTGGACTGGTACTATCAGATTTGATTATTTTAATCCCATCCCAGGTAACCTTGGCTTTGGTAAGGAACCTGGAGGCTTGTCTCCATTACTAACTCTTTAGTTTCAGATGGTATACAATTGTAATCACTTTGTTGTTTATTCAGTATATTCGAGTATGGTTACCGAGCCACAAGTCAAGACTCAGAAGCTTTTTACTGGACTTGGAAAGAAGAGTTCCTTTCTGAGATACAGTACATGTCTGTTCTTGAAATTTTATTTTTATTAGTACGTTTGCAGTATATAATGATTACATGCATTGTGGGGAGCTGGTACATGGACATATCTTAATTCTTTCTATGCCCCCTTCCCGTCGTAGTCCCTTTCCCATTTGCAAACAATCTATAGCAATCTTGAATCTGTGGTAGATTGAGAATTAGTTCTCGTATCAGAATTCAATATGGCTGCGTGTAACGGGACCTCCTTTGTTATGACTTGTGTCTGGATGTCCCCCTACAGCCTCATGCGGTCATAGATGGGGCTTTTCAGAGGTGGCTGGATCTAGAATTTGTGACACAGGGATTGATTCATGGTGCAATGCTAGGATGAAGGGTGCTAGCATTAATGGTATGATAACACAAAAGGGACAGAAAGAGGCTTGTCTTGTCACTTCTTGCTTTTTCTGTCTTGTGCCTGCCATGAACTGTTTCTCCTCTGTGATGCCCCTCTGCCAAACCACCCTGCCTTGGAGCCAACTGACTATAGACTGAACCTCTACAAACTGTGAGCTGAAATAAACCTTTCCTCCTTTAACTTTGGATGTCAGGTAGTTTGTCTCAGCAATGAGAAGAAGTAACTAAGACATCTTCCCACCCCACTGATGGGTTAAACAACTTAAAGACATCCTTCCCCATTTACTTAGAAAGCTAGAGATAGGCTCTCCAATTCCTAGTGCCCTCAGAAATCCATGTTCCTCTGCCCATGTCCTTTGAAATCCTTAGAGAAGAGCTTTCTCCCTATTCCCACCTCTGGCAAATTGTCTGTGTTCAGTGGGAGTAAGAAGAGGAAGGGCAAGAGGACACACCTGTTCTTAAAGAGCTTTCCTAAAAATCAGAGCCAGGAACTTCTCTTTACATCTCATTGGCTAAAATATGTCTTGTGGTTATCCCTAGGCACAAGAAAAAGAGTGAAAAATGTACTTTTTTCTTAGCTAGGCACACATTATTACCCAAACAGAATCAAAACAGTATCAGAAAGAAAGGGAGAAGTGACAGCATGCAGGCAATATGTTCTCCTAACGTAGCTTTGTGGCTTGGAATAAACTTTAGTCTTTTACTGAACATCAGTGTATAAGGTACTACCGCAAAATTTGCATTTAGAAGGGTAAATTTATTTTTGTGAGGGATTGGCAGAGGCTTTACTTGTATCATGGCTGAGTGTTAGACACAAATAACACACTAAGTACTATTCAAAGTCCAGAGAATGGTCCTGCTACAAGATTACATCTATATGTAAATACACATTTGTACATTTTCTTGTATAGGAATTCAGTTGTTACTTAAAGATGAATATTTGGCATATTGTTTTTAGTTTTTCATTCATGGAGTAAATGTTTATTAAGCACCTAGGCATTCTGCAAGGCACTGTGGATGAAACAAAAGTTAAACATATCAAATCCAGCCATTTCCAGTGTATATTGGCAGAAGGGAGGAAAAGTATATACATAAGCATCTGTAAAGCAATGTAGAAGGTACTAACTATGATAAGAGATAGACAAGGGAATCTTCATAAGCATTTAGAAGTGGAAAGGGTTATTGCTGCCAGTTACCTTCATAGCTAGCGAGCACCATCGTAAGACTAGAAAAATATGTTGAAAACATACATAACCAAGTACCACTCGTGAATGATTACTGATAGTAGACTTGTATGTCATCTGGTCCTTTGGTTCATTGATAAACTAAAGTAGAAGTTTAGGAAGGAATGGAGTATTTGTTGAGTGTCTGTTGTGTGCCCAGTATTTTATTTCGAGCAACCCTTACTGAATGCCGGTGCTAGACCTTCATTTAATCTCTAGCAATCCAGCAAAGTAGTTATAATATGTACTTTATGAGACACCTGAAGCTCAGAGAGGTTAAGTAACTTGAAAAAGTTGCCCAGCTGTGAGTTACAAGGCCCACATCGGACCCCAGGCACATTTGACTAAAAAGTCCTATTTTTTCCACTTACCCTGAGTCCCTCAGCCTTTCACCATTGAGTTCCTCTGGTTCCATGGCCAGTTTTGAATGTCAGTTCTTTCCTTCTTCAGCTCCTCTAATAGGGAACGCTGTACCCAGCTGATTGAAATTTGGGCTTCATGTGGATATTTTGAATTGTACTCAGAACTAATTTGTTAGCTGCTTAAGTGTTATTAGAACTTGACAGCCTTTTTTTGGCTTTTTAAATAATTTATGTTTGTAGTAATTATATATGCCCTGTACAAATTTAAAAGATGTGAATGATATATAGTAAATAGTAGTAGAGTCTTCCTCCTCCTTTGGCTCCTAGCTAACCAATTAATTCTCCATGGAAATTATCAGGTTTTTTGTATATCCTTCTAGAGTTATTCTATCAACATGTTTTGTGTGTGTGTTTGTATATGTAAATATATTTTCTTTTTATTAACACAAATAGGAGTTTCTACACTCTCTGTTTTTGTTTTTGGTACTAGGGATCGAACTCAGGACCTTGAGCTTGCAAGACAGGCGGCGGAACCACTGAGCTAAATCCCCAGCCCTACACTTACTGTTTTAAACTTGCTCTTCTCATTTATTTCTTTATCTGTGTTTAGATGTTCTTTTTTATTTAACTGTCCCAGAAAGATTTTTGAAAAAAAGAAAAAGAAAAACTTGATGAATTTGGAAATATGTTATGGTTAAGTCATTTCCATGGTAACATTATTGACTAGATGGTCTTAGCAATGGCAGTTCTTTTGCAGCATTAAAAATGTACCTCGATGAAGAATATTTTTATTTCAAAGTGTTCTTTACTAAGAGTAGTTTTTTCTCCCTCCTGTACTACTTACCCAGTGAAAGTGTTTATGGATAGTCCAACATAGCCCTCATTTTGATATCTTCTGGGCCTTATTTTTGTTTTCTCACTTTGTGTCTACTATTGTGATTCTTGTAGTTCTCAGCAGTGATTCTTCAGCCTGAATGCTGAGTTCTGATCTTCACCCCTCTCAAGTGAGGCATCTCCCAAACACCTCACAGCTAAGCTCACTTGTCAGGACATAGTGGTGAAAATGAGAAGCGCAGCCTGTGGTAGCCCATTCCCGCCTCCCTCCTTCCTTCTAATTAAGTCTCCCTCCCAGATTTTGAGGTCCCAGATATGGAAACAGCAGGTGAAAAGAAGGGCTTTGTTTTTAGAACCCATCCCAGAAGTGTGGCCTCTTACTGGCAGTTCAGAAGGCTGCCGGGAGCAGTCAGGGCTCCTCGGTCCTCAGGGACCATGGGACACCTTCTCACGTGTACACACTTGCCCGTGCTGCTCTCCTGATGTTGTCCCTCTTGCAGGGTCAGAGATATTGAGGAGACTTCCTAGTTCTTACGTATTTCTCTTTCAGGTAGTTTGCAGAGGTGGGGAGCATTTCAGTCAGATTGGTCCGTCTGCAAATGCTTAGATCCTCTCCTTTTGTTCATTCCCTTTGTTCACTGTCAAGAGTATCAGTCATACACATTGTCTCCTCATAAGCACCTTGGATTCCTCCTCTTATCCACCTAGCCAGGACCCATGGACTCGCTTCCCAGAAGTGGGACATCCCAAGGCATGAGTAGAGGAGAGTTGGTTGGCATTTTTCTAAAGCTACTCAGTTCATCTTTTAAGTCTGAAACAATAAAATTCATAAAGGACAAAAGGAATTCCAGTGAAGTCTGTCCAGAAGGTGAATGTTTATTAAGAGCATCTCATCTTCTTCCATCAAGCCTGGCCATGTAGAAATGACATTTCTGCCATCTCTCTTCACATGTTGCATCTACAGATAGAAGTCAATTTCAGGATATTCTTTTAACGAAAAGTACTGTGTATGTTGTCAATTACATTATTTTTCTCTTAACATGACGTCACATTTATGTTTTTATAATACATGCATATTGAAAGTAACAAAGGACCAGTAACAAAATTTGAGACACACAGATGCTCAAAAACTGTTTTTTTACAAACATTATTTTTAATGAAGTAAACAAGTTGTGGGAATTTTTAAGCATCTGTGTGAGGAAGTATACTTTCACATCTTTAACTACAAATATATGTGGCATTTGTGATGTTTAGATGGTCTTTTTTCAGTCTTTCTTTATTTGTAGGCCTACCTTCTAGCAAAAATACCCTTCTGTTGATCTTGTGTTCATATAGTGACTCGTATTCATGTAATAATTTTACTTTGAAAGTGTTTTCAAATGTATAATCTTACATTAATCTGTAGGTCAGCAAGGTGTTACTATGCTAGAATTCCAAACATAGCCCTAGAACCATGCACAGTCTGGCTTCTGGTTTCTGCCCCAGCCCCTCTCTGCCATCTGTCTCACTGCTCCCTGGCCACAGTGGCTTCTTCCCTTTCCTCAATCTTTACACAGACCCACTAGAGGAGCTCAGAGCTCTGCAGTGGGCCGGAGTCTCATCAAACTTCAAGTCAGTTTTGCTCTGTGCTCAATTTCTAGTACTTAGTCCCATTGGGACACACTCATTTAAAAATTGTTGAATGTAATAATGAAGGCTACTAAGACTGAGAGAGACCAAATGCTTTTTTAATTTATGCATATGTACCAACATACTACCTAAGTGCCCAGATTCCTGGTCCACTGCACTTTCAACTCTGCTTCAAGAGATTCTGCTTCTTTGAATCTGTATCTGCACTGGCAAGAGAAGTTTTTCCTAAAAATTACTGTCAGGGTTTCCCTTTTCTCTGGCCCCTTCAGGATTACAAACCAGTTACATATAGCAAATTGTTTCTCTTTTTCTTGTAGGCGATCTTTGGCAGCCAGATCCTACCTAACTCCAATTTATGGACAATGAATAATGCCACAGGCTGCAGAATTTCAGGGGCCACAGCTAGTGGCCAGAAGCCAACCACTCTACCACAAAAAGTGGTGCCTCCTCCAAGTTCTTCCACTTCCCTGGTTCCCAAACCCCCAACCAATCATAAGCAAGTGCTCAAAAAGGCCACATCCCAGAGGGCTTCCAAGTAAGTTTTTAATTATTTTCTGTTCAATTTTTTCAACATTCTATCAATTCTGAGCTAATGACACTCTTTAGTTGTGGAGACTCCAAGACCATTTGTCCTGAAATACTGAAAGCCAGAACACCTGATGGGGAACAAAGGCTAACTTTGGCCTCAAGCAGTGCTACAAATTGGAATAACCTGGGGAGCAGTTGCAGCATGGCTGGGCTCTTCCCAATGGAGGAGCAGGCTCTGTTCTTTTAGATTCCTCCTATGGTTGTGATGAGAGCAGCCTGCAGAGGTCAAGGTCATTGCTAGCCCCCTCAGCTGGCCTCTGGCAGGAGCTAGCTACAGACAGCCCACCAAGTAACAGTCCTGACTTGTGGGCTTAGCAAAAGGAAAGAAAAATGTCTTCCTCTGTGTTTCTTCTCTTGATCATTGTAAAGAATCAGATTATTTCAATTTCATATAAAATTCAGCACACTCCTCCCCTAAATTGTTTGTTTGTTCACATTTAGGCGTTTGAATGAGAACACATAGGATTGAGATTTCATTTTGAGGATTAACTTCCTTGACACAAGTCAACAGACTCTGTGTAGCAACAATATTTCTAGTACTTTTTGTAATCCGCCTATTTTATAGCAAAAAAAGACATTTCCATGCCAGAATCAGATTGTTATAGGCCACAGTCCTTCACTCTACCACCAGCCCTTTCTAAACCCAGTGAGCAAGGAAGAGATGTAAAGTATGTTAGTTCTAAGCCTGTCTTCAGTTTGAAATCAGGAACCGTTCAGAGAGCCTGGAAGAGGCAGGCATCTCTGCTGTGTGGATACCTAAAGGTTATTTGTGGATTTCTCTTGCTCTCATTAAGGCTCCTCACTTACTTGTCCTTCACAAGATCAATTTTAGTTGTAAAAAAGAATCCTAGGACATGGAAAAATGAGTTACTATTTTTTTTTTCTCTTGGAAGGTGAATCAAATTCTGGCTGTGAATTGAAAATAATCCCTTGTGGCTGTTTGAAGCATATTGCTGCCATTATTCATTTATCCAACACATATTTATTCAGTGCCTGCTAAGTACCAAGCACTGTGAAGAATGGCTGGGGTTGTGATGACTGCAGAACTCTCTGGAGCAGTAGCACAGGGTGGTAGGGAGCTTGAAGTTTGTGGTTGGATGCTGGTAGAAAAAGAGAGAGGAAGCTGTGGGCCCTCTTACCCTAGAAACAGAAGAGTCAAATCCCTAAGGGCTTAAGCCGATCTGGAGCCAGACTCACATCCCCACTCCACACTTTACTCATTTGACTTCTTTGACAAGTTACTTAATCTCTTGGCCTAAGTTTCCTCATTTATGAAAATGGGACAATAAGAATATTATTTCCTAGGTCGGTTGATAAATATTAACAGAGCTACTACACGTAAAGGACACAGAGCAAGTCCTGGCACACAGAAGAGCTCAGGGAGCCCTTGTCACCACCACGCCTTCACATGCTAAAGCCACATTGCCCTCGACAGCTTTGGAAAGCTCACAGCTAACAGGAAAATTAATGAGCCGGAAGTGAATGTGCAGTCTGCCAGTGTGCTCCTTTCTTGTGGATTCTCCCATCATCGCCAGTTCCCTGAGCTGGCCCTTGGTGGCCTGTGTGGCGAGCCACTGGGCTGGTGGAGGGGTAGGCTCAGGCAGCAGGGGTGGGCATCCAGAGGTGCTGCTCGCTGCCCTGAGCTCCCTGCTGGCAGGAGAACTCTGCAGCCTTCTGAGATGGAATTGCAGCTCTCTGGACAAACTTTGCTTTGGACATTTTTGTGGTTTCTTCTCTGTGACAAGCAGGAGTGTGGGAAAACCGGAAACAGCTCAGCATCAAAAATGCACAGACGGGGGGAAAAGCAAAGATTTCTTCACAATTTAAGAAATATAATCCAAGTATCAAAAGGCATGCTGTGAGGCGTTGTTCCAGGAAATAGTTTCCAATTTGCCTTTAAAACTCTAGCACAAGTCTGCAGAGCTTAAGTTAGCACTAATGAAGACCTGAACATTCTCTCACTTACATGTAAAACGTTCAGGGTCATGAAGGGCCTACAAATATTTTCAAATATTCTTCTTTCAGAAAAAATAATAGCATCTGAACTGATGGCAAAAAGAAAAAAACCTACTTTTTAAAAAAACTACCCAGTTTTTAAAAACAAATTTTATTTTATATCAATTTTAGATTTACAGAAAACTTGTAGGGATAATGTAGAGATTTCCAGAGACTTCTCTTCCAAGTTTGCCATTGTTAGCATCTTATATTGCCATGGGACATTTGATGACTGTACCATGCTAAGAAACTGTCACTGGTACGTTACTATGAACTAAACTCCATATTTCATTTGGATCAATAAAGTGATTTTTAATCTAAGGCAATTTTTCATGACTCTTGAAATCAAGATCCTGAGTATCTGTTGATATGTTCTTACTATTTAGAGTAATTCTTATTGCTAGCCAGTGTAACAAGATCCTTACTATCTTTGACTCAGTTTCCTATTTTAAAAATAGGAATAATAATGCTACTACCTCCCAGAGTCTCTAAGAGAAATAGATGAATTAATGAATGTCAAGCACAAATACAGTGCCTGGTACATAGTACGTGTTAAATAAGTCTTAGGTATTATTGTGATTATTACCTGAGAGGGCATTTCAAGAAATTTTCATGCAGTGCTTTACTTCCTGACAAATGTGTTGCTTCGTCTGCTTCATCTGCTTTGCTTTTTGTGGCCTTTATTCTGGCTCGGTTTGGATTAATCAGGAGCCCTCGGTTATGACTGGTGGTACTGAGTCACACTCAGGAATGCCACGGTTGCCCCAAGAGACACAGCTAATGAGAAGTTGTAATGAGCTTTTGACCATGCCAAGCCCTGTGTTTTTGGGTTGAACTTCAAACTTCTCTTAGCACAGAAGTTGCCATTAGACAGATTAGAGAAGCAATTTCCAAGAGCATCAAAGTTTCCACATCCTAGAGGGCTGAGTTTGGAGAACAATAGAACATAAAACACGGAATGTCGTTTTGGACTTTGGTGCAAAGAGAATTGAGAGTCAGAACAGTGGGGTCTTATTTCTCTATAATAATGTTCAAGTCACTTTCCCTCTCAAGGGTTCACTTTTCCATCTGTAAAACAAAAAGGGACCACTGTCCCTACTGATTAGACAAAATAATTTGTTTTCTGTCAGCTCTGTTGAAAGCTTTTTTATGAGCACATTTGCATGTTAATCCTAATACTTTGCAGCCATTTTCCTCATCTCTTCTTAGCCCAGCAGTTCTTGTTATAGTTCTCAAGTGCCTAGTCTCAGGTTTCCTTTAGGTGTATCTCACTTGTCAATTCTGTGAAGAAAATGATTCTTTTTTTTCTGTCTCTCTTTTTTTAACCATTTCCATAGTGCCATTAGCCTTTCTTGATTTTTTCTCTCTAGTGTTTGCAACACTTAACAACCTCCTTTCAAAACAATCTGTAGCATTTTTTTCCAAGCAATCAGCTCAGCTAATTAGGGTGATAGCCTAGGAGCAACTACATGCATCCAACTGTCTCTTCCTTTTCTCCCAAAGCTGGAATCATACTCTCTAGGACATATGGAAAAAGAAACACAAGGAGATTGAGATTTGCCAGGTACATAAGCAAAGCTCAGAGACTACAGGTGAATGTGAAAGGGCTGGATCGAAGCTATGTAACCTGGGAGAAGGTTGTAACCTGTTGTAACCTGTCTCCAGAGAAGGAAAACCATTGAAGAAACAGACTGGTGTTGGGGGTGTAATCAGTGGCAGAGTACATAGCTTTGTGTGTACTGGGCCCTAGGTTCAGTCCCCAGCACCAATAGTAGAAAAAAGAAAAGAAACACAGACCGAACTACTTTTCTTTTCTACTTGCACTTTTCTTTACAGAGCTGGAATTGCCCTTCCTTACCCAAGGCTTAGGTTAGCCTACATCAAGGTGACCCAGGTGGAAATTGAAAGTGACTGCTGCTCTGTGTCAGCACCCAGGACGGTAGTGTTTGTGAAAAGCTGCTAGGAATTAGGAGGGAGGGAAGTATTGAGAGCTAAGCAGCCCATAAAGCCAAATGTCAGTTAACATGACCAGAACAGTTGGACATTTGGTGAGTTCAGCAATGTGATGAAAGATGCCCAGAGATGATTGTCAGAAGAACAAAAAAATAAACAGGTAAATATAAATACCTTTTTAACATGTGAGTCATTAAAGTGAGAAGATGGTAGGGGAAAGTAATCAGGAGTCACAGTGATCCAAAAGTTCTTGGTGTGAGCATAGAAGATGTCATGTTAACCATTTTCTGTCAACCTTTTAGTTTTTTATTATGTGTAGTTTGAAGAAACATGATTTAATCTGTGGCAGAGCCATCCTTAAATATAGGGTTCTCCAACTTAACCATTTCTAAAGTATGTAATTATGTATTTTTCGGAGAAAAAGAAATGGAGGCATAGTGCAGGGCTATGAGTGCAGCAAGGTCCACACGTGGTTAGTGACTGAGCCAAAACTGGCCCTTTTACCACCTACTGTGCTAGCCTCAGGCTCTTCCCAGCAGACAACAGATTTTGAAAGTCCCTCCCTATCCATTCACATATATCTGCTTAGCAAAAGGCAGATTAATCATCCTAAAATGTTGCTTTGGGAAAAATACAAAGTAAGCACTTGGGAACTCAACTGTCCTTCTTTTCCAGCAACAAAGTACTCAGAAAAAGGAAGAGTTAGTGCCACTCGAATGCTGGAGGTGCTGGGGAATTTCTGTTAGAGGTTGCACAGGAAGGACTGAGGAATAACTTTGAGGGCTTCTCTGTCCTCATGGCTTCCTGTGAGCATGCAGCCTGGGAAATGAGTGGGAGACCTGAAATATCCCAGACAATATCCACTCACTCCAAGGGCCTGGACAGAAGGTCTGCCACTTACATTCTCTGTCTTTCCTCTACTGCCCTTGTCATTTTGGCCTTAGTGGTGGCTTTGGCATGGACAGGTTTGCTAAGGTTTGCTTCTGGCATGGACAGTGG